AGCCATCTTTGATCTGATTATGAAACACACTGATATGTATGATGTATGTGCCAAATACGAATGAAAATGGTACATAAATTGTGGAAATATAGTAGTAAGGCCAAAAAGTCAGATGGCTGTCAATCGGCCATCCTTGACCAGATTTTGAAACAAATTGTCATGGACATGCATCCTAACATGTATAAAGTACATGTATATGCCAAATTTGAATGAAAACTGACAGAGCACGTCCAAGATACCGCATAAAAAAACAAAAACAAGATGCCTGTCAGTCGACCATCTTTGATCCAATTGCGAAATAAATCGTCATGGACATGTATCCTAACATGTATGATCTATGTACCAAGTTTGAATGACAACTGACAAAGCATGTCCAAAATACAACATTTTCAAAAAACAAGATGGCTGCCAGTCGGCCATTTTGAATTGAATCGCTAAACCACTACATGTGCATATGTCCCACATAAAGTACTAGGCACATGCAAAGAATGAACGGAATCGGCCCAAGGGATTCTGAGATATGACTCCGGACGGACGGACGGACGCACGGACACACGGACGCACAGAGACCGAATTATAAGTCCCCGTTTTCGGACTTCGTCCGAACAGGGACTAATAACATTACAAGACATAAACTGACAATAAAACCTACCAGCAATAGGATATAGCTGTAAAATGAAAAAGTTTACAAAGCTGCCATCTACAGTAAACAGCAGAAAAACAAGATTTATTGTACACATGGTTCATTCCATTTTAGTTTAGGAATTTCACAACATTTTAAAGATGAAAACAAATGATAACGTAGAATTCATAAGGTTTTACACTACATTCACAAATTGTAAGTAAACCGTAAGATTCAGCGAGAAACGTTTCAACATTTTTATAGGAGAAAATCTACCGTTCACCTGCTTTAACCAGATCTTGACCTCCCTTCAAACAATAATAGTTTGACCCAAACTAGAAGGACATCCCCCTTCCCTGGAGTAAAAGTTGTGTATACTGGCTTCATTCTTTCAGGTCTCAAAAGGTCAACAATAGGTTGATATTCACTATAGGGCACTTGCGTATGAAAAGAATTTCAATCGATACATCTCCTTCACAGCCGCAGTTAAATGGAAAAATAAATTAATTGAACTTGATGTCCTACTTCCTAGCAACTACAAGTCACATAAAATGTTGCACAAAAGAAATTTGCTTATAATGAATTTGTTTATAACCACTGTCTTCAAGGTATTATTTTAAAGATCAAGACTGTGAGCACAATATATCATATTTCTGGTTACTAAGCTCAGAAACAAAAGTCAGCCAAAAAGTGGCACACAGTTACGGTACTTTAGTATAACATTTCAAGAGGCCATACAAATTTGGAATTTCTAAAAAGCAACCATTTTTATTAATAATTTATATTTTATTTGTTTATTTGTTAAAACAAGATATAAACAAAACCATTTTTATTTATATTTTATTTATTTATTTAAAACATAAATATAAACAAAGTGATTCATTTTCATCATTTGTTGAAATTTCTCTGAAGTTTTAGAGAAAAATCTTACTTTAAAAAAAAAAAAAAAATTTTTTTTTAAAGCTTCTACACTTCAGGGTGATAATAATTTGAAATAAACCTCAACTTGAAAACTTTTAAAATCTGACTCATTATAAAATATTGAATTTATCAAACAGATATAACTTTGGACACAGCACCTTCATATTCCAAATTCTACATAGAATAGAACAAAATGGAATAGAATAGAATCACAAACTACATTGTTATATTAGAAGTTGACCAACAAAAAACTTTGTGAGAAGTGATCCTGCGAACAAATACAGTTTTTCTACCACCTCCCAACACAATGTAATGGTCAACTCCTTAAGGAGACAGAATAGGACATACCTGATATCAGCCATGACCCGACTATCCTTCCCCTCACTGATCCTCTCAACATAGGCCACCATACTGGCCACTGTGGTGTAATCCTCATGGTTTAAATGCTGCACAATCTCAGATAATGACATCTCATCCAGATTCAGTAAATAATGACCTTCATGAAGAAAACAAAAAAATAATGGTTGGTATATCAATAAGATCACACCCTTGACTTAAATAAATGAGAATCCATATGGGTTATCTGTGAGTGCAACCAATTAAAGAAACAGTCGTATGCTTACATTTCAGTTGTCAGTGCTAAGTTCACTATAAGAAGTTCAACTGATTTGTGATCGTTGAAATTAACACATTAAAAATAAACAGTCTTCTTTTTCACTCCAGGGTTGAACTAACAAAAGCAGACAATTAGGCGATTCCATTGAGGCCACTGCTTTATTACAATAGCATAAATAGCTTAGAAGAAAACGGACGTAAAATCTAGGAATGAATTCAGCAAGTCTGTGATACAATTACAAAAAACAAACACTGACGATAGTCTTTTCAACACCTCCTGAAGGACTTTGAATACAACGCTGGCAGAGGATAATTGGTCTCTACCAGTCAATCAAGAAGTATCCATACCTCGCATAGGACACTTAATAAGCTACACAATCCAGGCATACAGGAATCACTTTCAGACAGTGACCTGTACGGTTAAATACTTCTTCTCGATAGCAGTATCAGCACAGTTTATTCCACTACAAGATTCCATATTCTTGTTATCTGTAGTTGCTAGTAGCTTTGTGTGTGTTACTCAGTCTGTACGACCCCAGTCAGCAAATAAATCATAGGGTCCACCCCTAAAGTGTTTTTTTTTCTTCAAAAGAATGCTAAGCATGTTTATTCATGCTGTACTTATCTTGACTTCACATAGTATTCTAAGTTGTGTTTTTTTGAAGCTACCAATTATAATAAAAAACTATTGACCGTCAAGTTAGCTTTTATTTTATCTTTATCAAAATGATAATTTTTCAAAAAAATTATCAATACATGCAGACAATGTGAATTTATGGTGATTTAGAATCAAATTAACGAAGTATTTTTTGGAAAGCAAATAAAAATATGGAAAATTTTGGCAGGCAAATCTATGATGTTCAAAGGGATAATGTGCTGCACACTCAATGTTTTTAACAACTGGTGGGAAATAAAGGTAAAAAAAATATACATTTAATAGGGTAAACTAGAGAGGGTGTGATAAATAATAGATAGGGAGAAACAATATGAATTAAGGAATAAATAATTAAAATAATTAAAAAATAAGTAAATAAATAAATAAAACAAATAAATAAATGAATAAAACAAATAAAAAATAAACTAATAAATAAATAAATAAATAAATAAATAAATAAATAAATAAATAAATAAATAAATAAATAAATAAATAAATAAATATTCGCCTCAAATGTCTCAATTTTAGTCCTGTGATAATGAGCTAACACTCATAAAAATAGTACTCTATGCAAAAACTTGGCTACCAAGCTGAATACATTTGTACTTTACAAAAAAATGCATCCACATCAACTTTCACTGCTGGAACTGGGATATCTGTTAGTTAAGTTAATCTTTGTGATCCTATCCAAAATGTAATTAATACAAGTAGCAATTAAATATCCTACTAATCTGAAGGTTTATTATCTTCTATTAGTCAAATAGATCTAGTGTATTACAAATTAATTTTTTATTAGGTTTCCTCCAACAAAGTTGAGTTCAGTTAGCTATTAATTGATTTGGAGGTGACCCCTATGCAATCTTGAGGTTTGAAATCAAAGCCAATAAGCATAAAAGATGATAGAAACTTGTTGTGATATTTATATAAACAGACACAAGAATCTGTCTGATACATGTCTAATGTATCAGACAGACAGCATACATACTGTGGAGATTACAAAAGAAAATACATCAACAATTAAGTAATGGATTTAGTTTATTTAATTGTTTAAGCATGGAAGGTATTAACGTTAATACATACCTTCCGTTAATACCTTCCAT